CTGCCTGGCTCTGCGGCCGACGAGTCTTTGTGCGTCCTCAGCAGGTACAGCCGCCTTCCCCACCCCCTCACCCCCGCAAACTCCTCGGGGTACCGGGTCCCCAGTCCCGCGCGGTTTGCCCCCTCCCCAGGCTGAGCCGGTCTGTCCCCCCTCTGGTACCGGTGTCTTCGCATCCCCTCTCCTCTCCTCTCCTCCCCTCCCCTCCCTTCCCCTCGGGGTCTCTGCCTTCGGCCGGGGCCGGGGGTGCTTGGGGGCGCTGCCTGCAGAGGCTGGTGCGTTCCCCCGGGCTGGGGCGGAAACCGGGACCTCTGCCCTGAGCGCCCTTCTACCCGTCGCCCTTGCTGCTGCCATGGTCACGGTCAAGGCCGCGGCCGGCTCCTGCCCCGCCGCTCTCCCCAGCTGGGATGGACCCACCGCTGCTCCCACAAAAGCAGCGCGGGCCCCGGCCACCCAGCGACCCGCGCTCCGCCTCGGCCCAGCCCGGCCAGCCCTCTCCTGGTGCTGCGGAGCTGTCTGTCCGGTCCCTGATGGTTCCCGTGTCACCCAGTCTTCCCGGTGCTGGGGAGGTGTGGGCACCCAGCAAGACCAGAGCCCCTTGGCTCACCCCGGACCTGAGCTACCTTGGCGAGGGCGGGGGGACGGGGGGACGGTGTCACCGCCCTGGGGTGCCTCTCTGGGTCCGTGTTGGCGCGGGGCTCCGGGGGACGGGCTGATGCGGCTGCAGCAGGTGCAGGCGCCGGCCCCGCGGAGCGAGCTGGACATCCGTGGAGCCGGCAGATCGCGGCGGCGTCACCAGCCTGGGGCCCGGAGTGACCGTGGTGCAGGGGTTCTCCGTGCCCCAGGCAGGAGACGGCGAGTCCTTGTCGGAGCAGTGACCCTTGGTGCTGAGCCCGCGCCACTGGCTCTGAGCACGGCTGCTCCGGGGCTAAACCTCGGCCGCCTGCATCACTGCAGGCAAGGGCTCTCTTCCTCCCTCCCCCAGCCCGGCCGGATTCCCGACAGCTTCTCCAGCAGCCCCGAAGGGCCGGGTCCTGCCTTTCTGGGGGGCCAGAGGGGCCTTCCCCAGCAGCGGGCACGACCCGGCCAGACAGGGTTCCTCGCAACGGTGCCCGGGTGGGAGTGCCGGGCAGCTGTGCCCAGCACGGGCTGTCAGCACAGGGCCGGCTGCGCCCCCCGAGCCTCTGCTGCCGCGGGTGGGGTCCGAGCGGGGCCGGGGTGCGCTGCGGGCGGGGCAGGGGG